ACAAGAAATCCCGACAAGGGAACAAAAATAATATAATAATTTCCCGGTAAGGGAACAACAATATCGAAACAGTCATCCCGGCAAGGGAGAATCAGCTATAACCAAATCCTAACTCATTTTGTACTGAGCTCATTTAATGACAATACTCAATCATAACTAAGATCGACGTGGATAAATCAATCTTTACTCAATATAGGAGATCATTAATAAAAGCATCCGAAGTGCTATCTAAGAGCACAACAACGTTCAAATTTAAGACTCACAGTCATGCTCAACATCAACATATAAATACTCGTCATCATGCCTATACATCGCACTCAACAAAAAGCAAGTAGAAAATAGGACTCAACTCCTAATCCCTCAAGCTGAGGTTAGACCGAACACTTACCTCGAACTTTCACGGCCAACTCAAGCCTCGAACCCCGCTTTTCCTCTCAAATTCGGCTCCAACCCAACAAAATCTATACATAATTGACTCAATATCATCAATAAGTGCTAAACAATCCAATTCCAATATTCAATTATAACTTCCAATCATTCTTCCCAAAATTCCAAAATTCGACCTCGGGCCCGCTTGGTCAAAATACGAGGTTCAGACCAAAATCCGATCACTCATTCGCCCACGAGTCCGAATATATAATTTGTTTTCAAATCCGACCCCAAAACGAGGTCTAAATCACAAATAATCAAAAAGCCCTAACTCTACCCAAATCCCTAATTTCTACCCTTAATTACATGTTTTAGGTCTAAAAATCTAGTGGGTGTTGATGAAAAATGAAGAAAACAAGTTAAATATTACTTACCCAAGAGATTATGGTGAAGAGAAGCTTCAAAAATCGCCTAAGAGCTTTGGAGAAGAAGAGGTTTGTGAAATTTTTATAAAATCCCGAAAGTGTTCTGTTTTTGGCCTTTTTAAAATCACTGGGCGAATATGCCCTTCGCGTTCGCGACTGACCCTTCGCGTTTGTGATGGTCAGGCTGGGTGAGCCTTCGCGTTCGCGTACACGGGCACGCATTCGCTGAGAGTAATCTCCTCGAGCCCTCGCGTTCGTGTCCAAGGGTTCGCGTTCGCGTAAGACAACTACCCCACCCCCTGCCCAGGCCCATTTGACCTTCGCGTTCGCGTGGCCAGGACCGCGTTCGCTAAGGGTTATCCCCCCCAAAGCCTCGCGTTCGCATAGAAGGAAATTCCTTCAGCAACAATTAACCCATCGCGTTCGCGTGGGTACTCCCCCGAACATGAAGAAGGAAGTACCAGAAACCCAACAACTGAGAAACCTGCAACATTTTCTAAGTTCGAAACCCTCCGAAACACATCCGAATCACACCCGAGCCCTCAGAGCTCCTAACCAAACACACGTACTAAATCAACAACTTCATACGAACTTATCTATGCGATCAAATTGCCAAAATAACCTCAAAAACAATGAATCAAACCTCAAAATCAAAGGATTTTTGTCAAACTTCATAAAACATCAACTTTAGCAATTTAGGTCTGAATCACATCAAACGGACTCCGTTTTCAACCAAATTTTACAGAAATGACTTAAAACATATATAAGACCTGTAACGGGCGTCGGAACCAAAATACGGGCCCAATACCATCGCTTTCTAATCAGATTTCATGTCAAAATTCCTTAAACATTTTCAGAAAACAATTTTACTTAAAAATTCATTTCTCGGGCTTGGGACCTCGGAATTCGATTCCGGGCATACGCCCAAGTCCCATATTTTTCTACGGACCCTCCGGGACCGTCAAATCACGGGTCCGGATCCGTTTACCCAAAATGTTGACCGAAGTCAAATTTATTCATTTTAAACTCAAATTTCATCATTTTTCACAGAATTTTATATTTAAGCTTTCCGGCTACGCGCTCGGACTGCGCACGCAAATCTAGGCAACTCTACATGAGGTTTTCAAGTCCTCGAAAGCACAGAATGCAATTAAAAAACAGGTGATGACCCTTTGGGTCGTCACAATAAACGTTTTAGTATGCGCAATAAAATCCAAAGGATTCTACCAAAGTTAATTCCACCTCATCTTCGGTAGTGAACTGCTTCTTTCCGTAATTGGTTCATTTAGATTTACTAGTCATTTGAAGGAAAAATTTGAGTGAGAAATCATTTTGGAATGAATTGTAGATTATTTATCTTAAATTAAGAGATAACAATATACACTTATGAGTAAAAGGGAGGGAAAGGTACTCCCGACGTCTCATTTTTAATTGATATTTTAGCAACAACAAAAAAATTCCAAATAACTAGTATCACTTTGGAAATAACCAAGACATAATTTATTATTTTTATCAATCTTACTCTTGCTATTTCATTAAAGAAGTCAAAAGTGATTAGTCATACTCACTTTCCAAAGTAGCATTTAATAGTCAAGAAATAAATAAGGGAATTTAGTAAATTGTATCTTGTATTTAATGTTTTTTTTGTGGAAATACTAAAACCTTAAACAACACTTGAAATGTGAAAAATGGAATAATAAAGATGGTTTTTGCTTTAGAAAATATCTAATGTGATTTTTTGTCTACATATGTTAGTTTACTTACAAGCATTTGATTCTTTTCCACGACAAAAAAGAAAAAGAAAAAAAGAAAGATAATTATCATTACCACAATATCTACATAATAAAATCAACATAATCTTCTCCATCAATGCAAATAACACAATGTACTATATAAGAATTCATCATGACTCACAACATATAGGAAAGATGAACTCCATGAGAACATCAATAGTGATTTTTTTTATACTTCTCTCTTTTGCGAACCATTCGTTTGGAGATTTGATAGAAGATGTTTGCAAAAATTCTAGTGATTACAAATTATGTGTCAACACTCTTAGAGCGAATCCTAAAAGCGCTTTTGCTGATCATAAAGGGTTGACACGCATTATGCTTCAATTATCTTTAGCTAAGGCTAAGAACATTCAAAGTCAAGTCATAATTCTATTGAATCAAGCTACAAAGCCTATTCTCAAACAAAGCCTTCAGATTTGCCGGGATAATTATGGAAATGCTGTGTTTATGCTTACGAATTCGATTAAATATTTTGATACAAGTGCCTTTTTTTCAGCGAAGATTGATTTAGCTGCTGCCGTGAATTGCTGCGTCACTTGTGAAGAGTCATTCACTGAAAGAGATCCTACACGCAGGTTCCCAATAAAATCAGCGAGTGATGATTTTTTTCATTTTCTTGATGTCACATCGAGTTTGTTAGTCATTTTTTAATATTTGTAGACCTGTTATCTTTAGCGCGGTCTTGAAACAAAGAATTAGAAAAGTAAAACCAGTTTTCATTTACTATATGTGAAACATTGTGATTACTACTTATGGTTTATGCTAAAGGTGAATAGGGTGTTATTTAAGTTGAAGTTGCTCATCTTCATAAAGCAAATTGTTTCTACAGTTAACTAATGTGCGTTATTTGGACAAATAGGAAAATTTAGTGCGTTGCTTAAATTTTTATCCCCTTTTAAGAGATTTTTGTAAAAATAGCCCAAATTCTTAAAAGGGTAATATGTCATGCAATAATTTTACCTTAAAATTAACTTTTTCGGATAAATTTAGCGTTCAACTTTGTATTTTTCCTTTGTTTTTAACTCATGTTTAAATCAAAGAACTCATTAAAAAGAACGGGGCATTGACATCTATACCCACTTTTTGTATTACGTTTTAACTTGTGCCCGCTTTGCAAAAAAAATTGCAAGCGTACCCGCTTTTTCGCATAACTTTAACATACTAGGCTGAAGTAGCAAAGGCAATCACGCAAAACTTCAGCATTCTAGTAGACGGGCATGAAGCAGCAATTGTGCTGAACCAAGTGTGCTGAAGTTTTTGTTTTGTAACTGGCGAACTTCAGCTGAGCTGAAGTTCTTTGTTTTTGTAACTGGCGAACTTCAGCTCTAGAGCTGAAGTTTTTTGTTTTTGTAACTGACGAACTTTAGCTCTAGAGCTGAAGTTTTTGTTTTGTAACTGGCGAACTTCAGCTCTAGAGCTGAAATTTTTGTTTTTGTAACTGGCGAACTTTAGCGCTAGAGCTGAAGTTTTTGTTTTTGTAACTGGTGAACTTCAGCTCTAGAGCTGAAGTTTTTGTTTTTGTAACTGGTGAACTTCAGCTCTAGAGCTGAAGTTTTTGTTTTGTAACTGACGAAGTTTTTATTTTGTTTTGTATTATGTATCCTTTACCAACCCTATCACCCTCCCATTTTAAAAACCCTGTAGTACATAGAAGTCAGAAAAGAAAAAGCGCTAAATGTGCCTATTCCTTCGACACCTTTCCATGGAAACAGGGGAAAAATGGCTTATTCCGCATCAACCTAAGCCCGCTTATTCCGACTAAGTGATCCATTGGCGAAAAGAGGGCCTTCCTCCTTCTTGCTTGAAGCTCTGTCAAAGAAGCATTCTTTTCCGAAAAACATAGTTCCTTCGTCAATTTGGAGATACGAAATTAATTGAAATTTAAAGTCTGGAACATTTAAGAAATCCCTCAACATCTGATTGTCTAATATAGAAGCATTCCCTATATGTGTTATTTTACCTCTATTACCTACTAACAATTTCACTCCACTATTTTTCTGATGACTAAAGTTCTTTATATCATGAAAAACTTCCATATAAAAAGTAATATAATGTGAATCACCTGAGTATATTATCCGATCACACTAAAATGCATTGGATATTAATGTAGTTATATCCATAGCAGTACCAACAGCAGCAGAAGAAGGAAGAAAACGAAGGAGGAGAAGGAGGAGGAGAAAGATGACTCAAGTTATTTAAAAAGTGGGTACAAGTTAAAAGTTTTTAAAAAAATGGGTATAGGTTAAATGGGGACGACCAAATAGGGCGCCCCGCGCAATTTTTACAAAAATAACTCGTTAAAAAGCACAAACCCAAAAAAAAAAGTAGTTCCGTGGACAAGCATAAACGACGTCGTAACTATAAGTCTTCAAATATTTCTGTCATTAAACCCAAGTTTTGTCAGCTACCTTAAAACCTTTGCCAACCGTCTGAAAATCTGGGCTGCGAGTGACACAATCTGATTCTGCTTTTCTCACAACACACACACACACACACACAGTACACACGCTCTCACATTTTTTGTATATATATATATATATAGAAGAAGACAAGATGATGATTCAAGTTCCAGAACAAAACCCTTCTTCCTGTAAACCCTGCGGCAAAGGTTAGCTGAATTTTACTCTCTTTTCTTCTTTTTCTTTTTTTCATACGTTAAACATAGATGTGAAGCACTCATTTCATGCCTTAGTGTATAGTACTTAAAATTAGTACCCACATTGAATTAATTAATCAGGAATTCTGATTTTATCTAATTATAACATTTTCTGGTGTTTGAGAAATTTCAGGCATTGAATAAACCTGTTTTTGAGAAATTTGCTTTTTGAAAGATTTTTATGGGTCAAGGTTCCTTTTTATTCTTTTATTTTTCTTGTTGAAGTGGTAATTCTGATTTTATCTCGAATTCTAATATTTACAGGCATTGAATTAATTAACCCGTTTTAGTTTTCAAGATTTTTGTGTGTTGGATGGGGAATTCTGATTTTTTTTATATTTTTTATTGTAACATTTACTGGTGTTTGAGAAACTTTTCTTAAACGAACTGAATAAGCCTTTTTCTTTGTGAAATTTGCTTTTTTATTTTGGAAGGCTTTTGTTCTGGGTCAAGTTTTTTTTTTTCCTTGTTCTTTTTGTTGTTGAAGGGGTAATTCTGATTTTATCTAAAAAAGGCATTGCCTAATTATGTTTTTGAGAAATTTCACCCTTTGAATTATTTTGTTTTCTCATGCTCTTTCCTTTTTTCTTGGTAGAAGGGAATTCAGATTTTTCTAAATTGTTTATTTATATGTAACAGAAGCAACAAAATTGAACTTTTTCTTCTTGGCGGGCAGATTTACATTTCTAGAATAGGTAGCATAAAAATGGATAGGCACACCCATCAATGGCTACTTTTTGTGTGTGTGAGTGAGTGATCCTGTATGTCTATGTGTGTTATCTTGTGTGTGCGAGTGATCCTTTTTTTTGTGTGTGTGTGATCTTGTGCTTGGATAAGAAATTGATGAAACCTTTTTTGTTGTTGAGTTTTTGGAGTTTTCAGATTTCTGATCAGAGGTTGCGCAAATGCTGAATTCAGGCGAAGACAAAAGCAATGTGGTATGCCTAAGTTCATGTTATCTGTTACTGAATCTCAAGCCCATTATAAAAGTTTAAGTATGATTTTGGATGGACCGACTGTGTGTCTTTAGGAACTATTGTATTTCTAAGCTACTTGCTCCCAACAACAATAAGATATGAGGAAACAGAGAAATAAAGGAAGATCCATTCAAGGAGATCTTAGTACTAGAAAGAAAGATGCCGTGGTCTTATTTTCTTTACATCATCATGTGAAGCTTGCAAGGACATGCAATATTTAACACAAGATAATATTCACCTTGGTACTTGATACCTCAAAAAGGCATCTCTTTTTTTCCCTTCGTTTTTCTAATTTGTCTCATCCTTTTTTAGAGGATGTAATGTTAGAAAGAATGAAGAACATGCTTTTCCTTTTCCCTTGTGCACGTTAAAATGACTAAAATCTACCTCTAACTGTAACTTCTTGAGAAGAGCAGTACTGTATTGAAAGCTTTGTTTTGGTGTTTGGATTACTAGTGTCTTTGATGCGGAACTAGAGACCATTGTGGAAGAGAGTCGTAGTTCTAATGTGTGTATATGCCATTGTTATCAAAGGCAGAAAGCGCAAAAAAACACTGAGGTATGTTGGGGCTTTAAGCGCAAAAAAAAAAAAAAAAACATGAGTTTTAGGAAGAAAAAAACACATTGAAAAAAAGAGAGAATGAAATTGAAGAATAATAAAACTATGGACAAAGGAATTAAACTTTTTTTACAATTACGTGAGAATTTTATTATTTAGTGTCACCTCTTTAGGACATCGCCCATTTACGATGAGGCATATGATTTAGTGCCTTGTGACTGCACTAAAGCACCAGTTAAGTGAGATGAAGCTGGCAGTCCTGTGCGTAAAACATTCCCCATTCACGCAGGATCCGGGGAGGGACCGTACTCCAAGGGGTGTGAGATGAAACGCTCAACCTATTTTTCACCTAACTTGAGGGTTTAAGCGCGCATTAAATTTTTTTTGACAACACTGACATGCACATACAATTTGTTTTCCTAATGCTTAAAGTAATTATAGTCATTGGCCCTTCATGGTAAACTTGATGTTCCAACTCGAGAATTCAAAGTGTTATTTTCACTGAAGGAGAATCAAATTGAATTGAAAGTCATAAGATTTGTTAAGGGTTTAAGTACAAGTCTTAGTAGCGGTAGATTTTAAATTGTCAAGTATTGAAGTAATTTTCTGTATTATGGAATAACATTTCTACAAATTTTCCGTGCACAGTAAACCATCCATATATAGATAAAATTCCACTTTGAATATAATATGTTTGGTATTATTTTAATATCATAACATGAATTTTTGTAATTGAGGTACCACAATTATTTATAAAAAAAAAAAACAAATAGAAAAAGAAAACTTACGATCAAACTTTTGGTGTGTGTTAAGTGACCCATCGATAGAGGGAAGGTTTGGGCTATCCTCATCTACTGAACTAGCTTTCGGGTTTGAGTTAGACTTAAGGTTCATTTCTTAATATGGTATTAGAGTAGACCCCTATTCTTGGTTTATCTAATGTTGAGCCCCCAATGTACTTGGAACTACTTTCTATTTTCTTGCAAAACCACATAACACCATTCATGAGCGAAACCTTTCAGAATACCCAATTACCCTCCATGAACTCCAAGTCTCTATGTCGCTTGTCCAAATAGGACTTTTGACGACTTTGAGCGGTTTTCAACCTTTCCTGAATGAGTTTGACTTTTTCCATGGGTTAGTAGGCTAAGTCGGGGCTCACCAATAAAGCTCTATATAGTGGTGCTCCATTGCAATATTTGAACCTATACCATGAAGGTAAACGGGGTGAGTATAAAAATATCCAGTAAGTCTCCTCTACTTTCGTCTAAACAATAGGACGAGTATTTTGAGATTTTATTAATTTACATGAGAAATATGAACTTTATATTAAAGTGCATGTTTGGGGAAAGGGTGTTAAGTGTGAGCATTGATTGAGGGAACGAGTTATGTCTCCTTATATGGTTTTAGGCAATTCTCAACTTGTAAGCTGATTTTTGGAGTTAAGTTAGGTTCACAGTATCTTCTTAACAACGTGACCTTGAAAATACATTTTCAGGTCAACCAATTTAACTTTTATTGAATCAACATCTCTTTAGTCTCTTCCTTTTATTTGACACTTTACTATACCAATAACCCTTAATCCTTATTTTATGAAAAGCAGACCTTTAAGGATTAATTATCTTAGAGTTGAAATTCCTATTGTCGACCTACTTAAAATGAATGGAGTTATACACTTATGGAATAACTTTTACACTCATATAAAGCTTTCGTGATAGGTAGGTTTGCATTTCCTTTTAGACATGTTGTCAAAAGTGGAAAATGTGGAAAGATGCCAAGATTTGCCGGAGATTTAAAGACAAAAGAGCAATGAAAGCATGAGATTTTGTAAGGCACAAATAAAGAAAAATATAGTATATATGCTGCACCTAGCTTCAAGGTTTAACATAACAAATTATTTGTAGTGACCTTAGATTTGAGCTCCCAATTTTCTTCAAGCAAGTCAAACTAAGAGCTTATTTTAAAAATAATACTTTTTATATCGTAACCAATTAAGTTGACCTTGAATATGAACCTTGAAAAGCTCCATAAATATGTCAGCATGATTTATGACTCCACGCAACCAATCTTCTTAAGGAGAACTGACTATTCATAATTTGATTTGTCCAAGTTTTACTATGCATGACGATTAGGAAATTTACATGTCTAGCTTGTTTGAACTTTTCTCTGCGATTTTCATCTTTCTGTCATTCTTGGATTTTATTCATCATTGTTCCTAAGGTTGGTGAACATTGGTTAAGAAAAGGTTTTGCACCACCATCAATTTTTAGACATGGACCAATGCTTTTGGCAATTGGGTTTACTTAATACATTTATCTACTTCACATTAGCAAAATGATCATTTAATAACTCGGACATAATTATGTGGATGTATTTATTTAAAGACAATAAATCTAAAGCTTTCTTGTAAGTGACAAGATGACGTTTCCTTGCATAATAGATTCTGTTACTAGTATAACAAATGAGAAGCTAATTCTAGTTATTCCAAATGATCTTCTTAGGTATGGGGAACTTATCTTGGTACAGCCTAGTTATTAGTGGTTATTATTAAATTTGGGCTTGTGAATCCGTTACAGAGGAAAAAAGTGTAATGTCAGATTTGGTGATAACTAAATAAAAATGAGTAAGTAATTGATATTCTATGAAACACCTACTCTGACCATCATAGGCAGAATAAAGCATTTGAATAGTTCATTATATTAAGTTGGTAAAAAGCTGTATATGACAATAGTTTTTAACAAGTCTTTAGATTAAGAGTTTAAGTAGGAAAAAGTAGACAATTTAGCTAGGTGTTACATCACACATGAGATATAAGAACTCAATATTAACTTGTTAGCTGGAATGGTTGGAGGGAGGATTTTCTATTCAAGGAAAGACATTTTTAGATGGATAAAAAAGGAAAGTACGTGAATTTTGTTAGAGCAAAGAGACTGAAGTTTTTCTTAAATGCCTTTAAAAAAGTGCCAGTTGTGAAACTTTAATGATGTAGCTTTGCCTTGTTTAGCCATAAATGGACCTATTGATGATATATCTTAATTTTTTAACCACTTTTCACTAGAATAACTATTTCTAAAAGGAACAGTCTATTTTGACGCTTAGTAAACTAGATTCACTGTTCTACTATCAAATTTTGTTTGTGTCTGAACACAAGAAAAGTAGAAAAAATGATGGAGTTGTAAAATCGTTCTCTTAACCCCCCTTGCCGCTTTTGTATACGGTGAAAAAGAAGAACAATGAATAAGGGAAAAACGAAGATCGGAGAGAAAATTTTAAGGAAGCTAGAGTTAGAATTTTATGAATTACCTTCTTCGAGAAGATCTAATCAAAATCAGATCCGTCGCAGGAGGGCATTTCAAACAACTATCTTGGTCTGATTTTACTTGTTTGATTTCGAATGTTGAGAATCATACTCCTTTTGGATTTGATATATCTAGATACCCATTGACAAGTTAGATGCATGCACTCATCGTTTATTCTTTATTTAGCATTTCTAACTTAGTTTAAAGATTATTTATTTCTATTTAAGTCTTGCAAGTCTCGACGACGCTCTCCTTGGGTTAAATGGGAAAAGATTAAAAGAGTTTAGATCTAAAGCTTACCGTTTCTATATCATATAATTATTGATTCCAAATGTATTCTTCCTTTCTATGATGGTGGTGGTGGCTCGACCAGCTTGCGCGCCCCTCGACCATTCCACCCCGTACATGCTACCTCCCACCAGCACATGTACCGGGTAACTCTGTCCATCAACACTTAGGCAGATGGGAAGAAATCACCTAGTATTTTTTTCCTCCCCTAGTATTCTAGATCATTTATGCGTCACATGAAATGTGATGCTTTCTTGTGGCGATGTGGACTTGACTTGGTATGACACTGTGGACTTGCTGAAATCACGAGAAGACTGAACCCGGCAAACCGATGATAAGATTAGTGCAGCATTTTGAACATGTCTATATACTACATGTCGGCTCAAATATAAATAAAGAAAAATTTCTAGGATTTGGATCCTGAGATTGTCGGTTGGTAGCCTGCTATATACCTGTCAATAGCTGTGCTATTTTAAAAAGAATAGTAATTGGTAACACTCATCCACCAAAAAAAGAGAGAAAAGATTGGTAACATACCAACACGCCACTACCAAGGTTTCGAGGCATTGGCTCGAATGTGAAAATTTAAAGACATAAATTTAAGGAAATTAGAAACAATTTTGAGGATATTATGTTCTGTTAAGTACTTATATGGGTTTGATATTATTAAACCAAAAAGGTGCATCTTGGAAATTGGGTAGTTTTCAGCATTTTTTTTTCTAGTAGACCCTACTGCTTTAACTTGTATTGACCATTTAAACAGGTGATATTGAGTCAACACATGTCTAGAGTACTCTACTTCGTTCTTGCCTTCTAACTAACTAGTTGGAAGCTGTAGTTCCTCAACAAAGTCAGGTTCTTTCTCTCGACAAAAGTGGGCATATTGAGAAATGTTGATGAAAAATAAAGCACTTATACACTCTTTTGGGACTATATTGACCCCTTTCAGAAGAAAGGAGCTATAGTCATACACATCGTACAGTTCCAGCACCGTCTTAGTGCTGCTGTTTTAAATTAAATTTACTTATGAAAATAGTGGGCTTATTGAATATCCTAGTGGTTTGGCTGGTTGATGTGACGGTTGCTGCATTCAGTTGTACCTTATTATCGAGTTACTTCATCTGCCCTTCCATCAAAACATGGATGCACACGTCGGTTACATTGTTTGTGTAATCAATTAGCTATATGATATCTGTTTTGCTTATTGTCAGTCATATATTTGCTAGACTAATACTGTATAATAATGTTTATGGAGCCAGTATAATAAATGCAGCCCCTTCGCTCATACATAAGTGATTTTCCATTACAGTATGCCATTGTGTGTATATCAAGTGAAGAGGTGAATTATTTTTGTTTTTTTGAAGGTCCAACTGCCCGAAGGAGTAATGCCATTTATACATATTAATCAGAATGAGTTTCTAGGGCGAAAGTGAGCTCAATTCCTTTCTTTGCTTCTTTTAATGATGATCTCCCTGCCAATTGCTGCATTCTTTCTGACTTCTGTTGATAATTATGAGTACCACTTGAATGGTATGTTGACTATAGTCATGATCCAAACATCTTAGTTTCAGATATCAAAGATCTGGAAACTGTGGCTATACGAAAGAGATTGGTTCTTAATTCTATTTTCACTGGTAAGATAAAACTAGATCCAAAAAAAAAAACTTTGATTAATTATTGTACCCTGTTCCATGTTGTGCCAAGGATGCTGTGGAAGTATGAATCTAATGGCAAGAAAATGAGTAGAAGAAGAAATTTGAACTCCAGTTTATGATTATCTGGTCAAGCTTAAAGGGAAGAACTTTCTGTGAGTCGAAAATAATGTTGTATAACGCTTATGTTTCAGCTTTTTCTTTGATCTATAGAATGGAGAAGCATAATTTCTTTCTGTAATAGAGAAATAAATTTCTTTTTCATACCTACGAAAGTTTTTGTGTCCTACATGCTCATTTTGTGGTTTATGGCTTTCTATCTTTCAAGGTTGAAGCTTCTGATGCCTTAACTTGAATCCCAAATAATCACCATAAAGAAGAGAAAGAAAACCAGTGCCCCAAAAGATGCATACCTTGATCCGTTCACCTTGATTTAGTTAAGTCAATTTTAATGTGGAATGTTCTATTGTCTTACAGACATAAGAAGCTGAAAGAAGAGGATATCGCTATTTGTGAGTGCAAGTATGATGCCAGTGATCCTGAAAGTGCATGTGGAGAAGGATGCTTGAATGTACTGACCAGCACTGAATGTACACCAGGATACTGTCATTGTGGTGAGAATTGCAGGAATCAGGTAAGTTAGATGATTCCGTTAATTAGTTGAACATTCTCTCTGATGTTTCTCTTTATTAGTACACTTTACAGTGGTCTTCATGATGTCTAAACTTACAACAGATTTTATGGGAAGTGCACCAAATTTGTGTTACCATTATGTGTTGAGAAAGAGAGAGAAAGTAGTGGTATTTTAGAACTTCTATGATAAGCCCCAAAAAGCCATGTCACACCATTACCTTTCTTAGTGCTATTCTAATACAGTTATTACCTTCTGGACTAAAAACCATGTCACACCATTTTTATAGTTTCTCCTTGGTGTTTATTATTTGTGGATGGGTGTATAGATTTTCTGAAAATACTTCTTTGGAACTAGAAAACTATCAAAAAAGCAGCAAAAAAAGAAAAGAAAAGAAAATAAATGCTGCAAATTTTGAGAAAAGCTTTTATGCAGTCCTGAAACTATTCAACCAAGAACCGCCAAAAGCATTTCTACAACCAATCCTGAAATTATTCTACCATAAATTTTTTCTAAAACTAGCTTTAAACCATCTTATTATCCTAAAAAGGTCAAAGCATCTCCTCCCTGCATGGTGTGCAAAGAGGTTCAAAGCACTTCAACATGCTGTTCCTCATTTGTTTCATGGGACAGCTTTATCTAGTTTCTTGTCTTGGCAATTTTCCATGCTTTTACTTCTATATTTTTCTTCTTTATAAGTGTCCTTATGCTACCTTTACCTATGTGCATCATGGGACTCTTCCTCATACCCAAGTAGATCACCGGCTATTATTCTCATTTCCCTCCCTATCAGCCACTAAGAAATCAAGATCTTCATATCAATTTGGCACAGAGAGCTTCTAGACGGATGGAAGTGTTCTTCTTCTGCGATAATCAAACCTTTTTTTAAATGAGTCTGCTATAACTGTACCTTTGTCTTACCTTCCTCCATCATCTTTGTTTTTCCGTCACCCACCCTCTTGAGATGAACCATCAGATTGGAGGCCTATGGCAAACTGTTTCCTGCATCTACTGCTTTATGAGTGTCCATTTGTTGCTTCTCTTCTTTCACCTTCCATTGGGTAAGTTTTGCCCACTTCAAGCCACGTAAAACTATTCTAAAATACAGGTTTATTCAACAATTCGCTTTCTCCTGGCCTAGTAGTGATTTCTTCCCATACAGGGCTAGGGGTAGCCCTCATATTCTTTGATCGATAATTCTGCACATCCTTTCTTACAACTGATGTCAAATTATTCTTGAATTTTTTTACTTTTTCTTTTCTGGTTGGTTTGAGGAATACTTAATTCCTTACTATTTCAAACCAGTTGTTCAATCCACATTTCTTCAGTTATTGACAGACATGTGAAGTCAATGGACTACCCATTTAGCAGTACATGTGATCGAGTCATTGACGCTATAATGCCGACCTAAGTTTCGCCGACATGGTAGCTTAGGTGCCGCACCCGTGTCAACACGACACTAGTATGGGTATGGGTATGGGATTCGTACCGGATCTGGTCAAACAATTTTGGGTACTTTGACCACAACTGACGGAAAAATTCCAGATGAGATATAACTTGATTCACGAAATAACCAAAACTAGGGTAAATTTGAAGAAAATAGCACACCTTATCTTGATTATCAATCATTTACTTATCTATATATTGAGAATATGTCACGACCCTAAACTCAGACCTGATCGTGATGGCGCCTCTCGTGAAGACAAGGCCAGCCGACACAATACCCAAATTAACCATTGATCAATAAGAATCATTTTAAGCCTTTAATTAAACAAATGTTTCATAATGTAAGTCTACATGAACAGTGTGAAAATAACATACAAGCCTGATATCGGGGTGTCACTAGTCATGAGCATCTACCAAGGCCTGGATACAACAAAAACAGTCAAAATGTACTAAGTACAGAAATGGAAATGAGAGGAAGGAAGCAGAGTTGCGAACGTCGTGCAACCACCTTGCTAACTCTGATGACTCCGCGTCTGAGCAACCAACACCCACTACCGGGTTCCGAAATACCTGAATCTGCACATGAGGTGCATGGAGTAATGTGAGTACTCCAACCCAGTAAGTAATAAGAGTAAATAAAGACTGAGCAGTAGGAAACAATGAATCCACATTTATGTTAAACTCAATAAGCACTACAGGCTTTTTAAATCAGAATACGAGTCAATCGCCTTATTTAAAATCCAGCCTTTGGTAAAATCATTTAAAATGCCTTCCAATAGTTTCAGTAGGGGTTCAATACCATTTTTAATAAAAGAGCTGAAAACCATAATCGGCCCCTCGGGCAAAACATAAGTCGTAAACAGCCCCTCGGGCAAAATAGGAGTCATAAACACCTCATAACAAGAAAATCTCAGTGGAAATAACAAAAGCCAAGTCAGTGATTAAGTTCTGAACATCTCATAAAACCCAGCTTAAATGATAGTTGTTTAAAAATATTTATTCAACGTTTTCGACAAAAGGCTCAGTGTAAAGATGAATGAAAGCAGTCAATAAATCAATATATTCGATAGGAACTCACTTAAAGAGGAGTGAAAATCAATAAGTTCATAACCAGACCCCTCAGGCAAAGTATCACTCATGTGCATGTATATATCTATTGCCCCTCGGGATAGCCTCTCAGTCACTCGTGACTCAACTCTTTACCAATCAGCGCTCACTTAGCACTCACGCTCAATAAGTACCATATAGTAACCGCTGCGGCGTGCAGCCCGATCCATATATATAGTCGACTGCGCTCACTGGGGGTGTACAGACTCCGGAGGGGCTCCTACAGCCCAAGCGCTATATCGCTTCGGCGTGCAGCCCGATCCAACATATCGCTGCGGCGTGCAGCCCGATCCATATACATATCTATATATATATTGCTGCGGCGTGCATCCCGATCCATAGATATATAATCCTCACAACCAGGCCCTCGGCCTCTTTCAGTCATTAACCTCACAATCAGACTCTCGGTCTATCTCAGTCATCAACCTCACAATCAGACCCTCGGTCTATCTCAGTCGTCAACTCACGATCACTCGGACCATCAGTAAAATAGGGCACTCAGCCCAAACAGTTTTCACATTTTTAAGAAATAAAGTGATAAAGCCAGATTTAAACAATAACAGGTAAAACATGACTGAGGATATGCTTTTAAAACAAATAGAGTGAGGAAAATTAGTGAAAGTGCCCCTAAGGGTCTCAGCAGGTCGGCACAAGGCCCCAAACATGACATATAATCCAAAATGTAATATAAATCTCTAGAACATGGAACATCATAAGATTTCAAATCAAATACGCGACTTAACAGTCGTACGGGACGGACCAAGTCACAATCCCCAACGGTGCACAACTCCACGCTCGTCATCTAGCGTGGTCGTCACCTAACACAACGAAGTGTAATCCGGGGTTTCAAACCCTCAGAACAATATTTACAATCATTACTTACCTCGATCCTGTCCAAACTCTAGCCCGCGATACCTTTGCCCTCACGAGTCGACCTCCGGATACTCCAAATCTAGCCACAATCAGTACATAACCATTAGAATATGCTAAGGGAACAAAGCCCACTCGAAAATATCCAATTTACATAAAAAATCCCGAAATTGCTCAAACACGGCCCCGGGCCCACGTCTCGGAATCCGACGAAATTAACATCAGTGGAATCCTCATCCTCTCCCGAGTCTATACATACCAAGCACGTCAAAATCGGACCTCAATTGCCCCTTCGAATTCCCAATTTACACTCTCCAAATCTAAGCCCTAATTTCCCAATTTTAGGCTTTAATTTCCACATATTTCATGATTAAACAAGTAAGAATCAACAGAGGATCGAGTATTGAGTTCAAAAATCTTACCTCCAAGTGTTTCCCTTCGATTCCCTCTTCAATCTTTCTCAAAAACTCCAAAAATTGCTCAACAATGGAGAAAATGGACCAAAAGTCGCGAACTCATTTTTCTTAACTCGCAGCAAACAGCTGAATCTCAAAACCTGCAACTCCAAACAATATGGAATGGTCCGATTGACCACCTGAAACTCACCCGAGGCCCTCGGGACCTCAACCAAACATGCCAACATATCCCATAACATCATTCAAACTTGTTCCAACCTTCGGAACGCTCAAAACAACACCAAAACACCAAAATCACATCGGATTCAAGCCTAAGAATCTTAAGAACTTCCAAATTCCGCTTTTGATCGAAAACCCAACCAAACCACGTCCGGATGATATGAAATTTTGCACACACGTCACAAATGACACAACGAAGCTACTGCAACTTCCGGAATTCCATTTCGACCCCTATATCAAAATCTTGCCTATCGACCGGAAAACGCCGAAATCTCAATTTCGCCAATTCAAGCCTAAACCTTCCACGGACTTCCAAAATGCATTCCGATCACGCTCCTAAGTCCCAAATCACCCAACGGAGCTAACCAAATCATAAAAATTCCAATCCGAGATCATATACAAACAAGTCAAATCTTGGTCAAACCTTTCAAATTTCAAGCTACAAACTGTGAACTGTTCTTCCAAATTCATTCCGATTAACTTGAAAACCAAAACCAACGATTGACATAAGTCATAATACATCACACGGGGCAAGTCATGCCTGAAAACTGGCGAGCAAAGTGCAAAAGCTCAAAACGGCCGGTCGGGTCGTTACAGAATAAAAATAAAAATCCACACTTTACAAGCTATACGTTAGTATTCCATAGAATTTCTCATAATTTAGAGATATTTTTATATTTTTATTTTTTTTGAATTATTTTTAGCTGTATTCCCGCACTCGTATCCGTACTAGGATCCATATCCCCGAATCTTAGAATATACATCTCGAAGGATCCGACCTCTAGATCCGCACCCGTGTCCGAGCAATTTAGATGCCGACCACATCAGCAATACATTGCACATCACTAGTCTCCATCAATTGCTACATAAACAGCCACATTATTTAACATGTCAAGTAAATATTTCATGTTGACTAACCTGTCTTGTTATTTCACTCTAGTAAATCTGTTGAATCAAGTCTTGTTGTCAGCAAAAATTTCTAGAAATCAAGTATTCGCGTGGTAAGAGCGGCGCATATGATCTATTACTTGCCTGTTCAAAAAATAAACTTGATTGTGTGAGTTAGAATGTGTTTATACTTTTCTTATATGTTCAGGATTGATTGTACCAAATCTTATATGAAATATTCTTAATGGTTGTACTATAAGTCTATAATTAGGCATCTATGTAACTAGGAAATCTTCCTTGTTTTCTGTATGCTAAACTCCTATAAGGAGCTCTATTTTATGTTGCAAATTGCTAACTAGTGAACATTTTCTCCCTTCTTTTCTCTCGTTTCATACCTTTGATTAAAAACATCTTTTGGCTGTTAAAAACACCATATGTTGCTCATTGTAGAGGTTCATGTGTGATATGAGGAAGCTGAGTTGTATAAAATTTTCATCCTATGCTCGTGCAGCAAAGCGTGTTATCGTCTATGTTGCTCGGACTCTCCCAAAATCTCGCCAGATATGTGTCGGATCCTCCAAAAGTAGTGTATTTTTGGAGGATCCGATACGAGTGTAGCAGCATTGGAGAGTCCGCGCAGCATAGGTTATCGTTACATGTATGACACCCTAGCGTCTGCTTTTTATAACTGTAAGTAGTGACTCATTTGTTTAAAGATTTGGTTGTAGCAAGAAGGTTCTTTGAAAAGGTGTGATATTTTGGTTGGTTGATGTTTTGTGATAAAATGCAACTATCGAGTACTCTGGCATCAGTATATTTGTACAGCAGGTGTCCTATTTTATTGCAATGTGATTAGATGATGCTTTGGAATTTAGTGGTTCATCTATCAGCTATATCAAGGAACTAGGAATCACTGTTTGGTTGAACTTGCTTTGTTCCGAGCAGTTGCTGTATAGCATAATTGCTCCTAGTTTTTTTCCTAGTTATTCCTTGATAAACAAAAACCTAAACTTAAATTTCTTCACTTAAATTTATCCTTTCATCTACTGCAAGTAGGAGTTTCTAGATCCTATATGCGGTTGACTGCTTCAATAACTAATGGGAGACTCTACTCAGTGACATATTTGAAAGATACAGAGTGAGTGTCATTTTAGATATTTTTAGGTATATTGTTTTGAAGTGTTTTGCTTTTCTATCCACAGAGATTCCAGAAATGTGAATATGCGAAAACCAAGTTGTTCAGGACTGAAGGGCGTGGTTGGGGTCTTTTAGCTGATGAGAATATAAAGGTAATTCTGCTGAAGCGACCGGCCTATTTTCTTTTCGGGAGACCAATTAATTTTTATAGCATAGTTTCCACATATATTAAAAGATTTTTCTTTCTTTTACCTTTTCCTATAAAAGAATTTTCTTTTGTTGACAATCATGTGGAGAGAAAATGTCCATAGCTGAGCCTATCAAATTTGAGTTCTCTGCAATATATCAGAGGCTTTTGCTCAGTAACTGTAATTATGGCTTATTCTTAATTAGCTGCAATCAACCAATTGTTCCTCTCTCTTTAACATGATTAGGCTGGACAGTTTATCATTGAATACTCTGGAGAAGTGATATCATCTGAAGAAGCAAAGAAAAGGTCTCAGGCTTATGAAGCTCATGGTAAGTTATCAGCATTGGGGATGGTTGTCAATGCATCTCCAGATCACTACTACAATTTCGCATGATTTGTGCAGAGCTCAAGGATGCATACATAATTTCTCTGAATGCTAACTATTTCATTGATGCTACCCGGAAGGGAAGTTTTGCAAGATTCATAAACCATTCTTGGTAAGTGCTGAAATGTCAGTTGTCAAATTGTTAAAAAGTGAAATAAGATACAGATCTTGGTCAGTCAGTGGCATATTATTATGGTTAATTGGTGTGAAATGACAGCACTGATACTGTGTTCCTGAATTTCCCAGCCATCCAAATTGTGAAACAAGGAAATGGACGGTGTTAGGGGAAACAAGGGTAGGAATATTTGCAAAGCAAGATATATCTGTTGGAACGGAGTTGGCATATAACTATAATTTTGAGTGGTACGGGGGTGCAACTGTTCGTTGTCTATGTGGAGCTGCAAACTGTTCTATATTTCTGGGTGCCAAGTCTCAAGGATTCCAGGTAACATATGGTTTCTTGTGAATTGTTTTATCTAGAATGCCCTTTATAGCATCATTTCACTTATTCCTTCTTGCCCGAATTCAAACAACAAACAGATTTATGATTTATGCATATAGATTGAATTTGCTAGTTACATACTACAATCCGCGAGTCACATGTTGTAGTATGGTGTATCATTACAAAACTCAGTTGGTGATAGTCTGTTCTTTAATGTAATCTATTAAAATTCCTGCGAGTTATGACATTTTAAAAGAATGATTCCTTTTTTGTCTGCTTCAGTGAAGTTGTCATCATCTTCTTCTGTTAAGAACCTGTACTTATCAAATGTGAAGCTCCCGAAGATTGGTAGTCATTTTCCTATTCCTTCTTTACATATTTCTCCTTCCTTCATCCAAAGGGCCTAAAATGCACCACAATATAAGGACCTTAAGTTTTCTTAGAGGATTAAGAGCGTGTTGCTTTTGAGGCTGAAAAGAGGAAGTAATCCAGGATAAATGCTTATTGCACCGATCGGGAGAAATAAAAAGATAAATGCTCATTGCTTATTATGTTTGATTTTAGAACAGAACACTGGAAGTCTATGTAGTAGATGTTTTTCCTTTTCTCATTTAGGGCTTGGTTGACTGAGGGGATTATTGATAACCCTCACTATTGAACTGTTTTGAACTAGCATGTAAACCGATTTTCCCTATCTTTTAGGACGAGAGCACTGTGTCTTAACCCTGAGACCTTGAATACACAAATTTAAGGGGTTTTTTAATTATCACACCAATAATAGATTTCACAGTTGATTTGAGATTGTCTAAGGAGGAACTATGATTCCAACCAGTGTTTGGAAAAGCGATCGCTTCGTCGCTTTAAGTGCGAAGTGACAAGGTTTCCCTGAGAGAGGCGACTTGACCTTGTGAAGCGCACGCTTCAGTGGAAAAAACAAAGCGATGAAGCGACAGAAGCGATAAAGCGATCGCTTCTGTTAAAAAATCGCATCTGGGCCCTTTTATTTTTAAAAAAAAGATTGGGTCTGTTTGTAATTATACAAAACAGACCCCTAAGCTCGCTTCTGTAATTGCTTGACAAAACAGAGACCCAATCTCTCTTCTTCATCGACAAAACTAGGGTTTCCAGTTAATTTTCTTCTTCTCCTTTCTTCTTCTCATTTCTTTCTTTCTTTCTTTCTTTCTTTCTTCTTCTTGTTCCCGTCCAGATGCTCCTATGTTTTCTTTCTTTTTCCTTCTTTCTTCCTTCTTCTTCTTCCTTATTCTTTCTTTTTTCTTCTGAGTTCTAGCGATGGTTTGAATCTTCTTCTTCCCTTTTCCTTGTTTCTTCCATTATTTATATATGTTATATTTTTCAGTTTTTTTTTTGATTTTTTTGGTGTATATTTCAGTATATAAAATTAATTATTATATATGTTATATTTTCAGTTTATTTGATTAATTTTATATGTATTTCATTTTAGAAAATTCATTATATATATATATATATATATATATATGTTATATGTTAGTTTATTTGATTTTTTAATGTGTATTTCAGTTTATAAAATTAATTATTATATATATGTTATATTTTCAGTTTGATTAATTTTAAAATGTATTTCAGTTTAGAAAATTAATTATTATATATTTGATTTTTTAATGTGTATTTCAGTTTATAAAATTTATTATTATATATATATATGTTATATTGTCAATTTGATTAATTTTAATATGTATTTCAGTTTATGAAATTACTTATTATATATATGTGTTATATTTTTCAGTTTAATGTGTATTTCAGTTTATAAAATTAATTTTTTTGTACTCCCTCCGTTCCAGTTTATGTGAACCTATTTCCTTTTTGGTCTGTTCCAAAATGAATAAACCCTTTGTAAAATTTGGAAATAATTTAGCTTGAACTTACAATTCTACCCTTAATGAGAAGCTTTTATAACCACACAAATACTCTGGACCCCTTTTTGACTTGTTTAGGACCACAAATTCCAAAAGTCTTCATTTTCTCTTAAACTCTGTGCCCAGTCAAACAAGTACACGTAATTTGGAACGGAAGGAGTATATGTTATATTTTCAATTTATTTGATTAATTTTATATGTATTTCAGTTTAGAAAATTAATTATTATTATTATATATATNTTAAGAATTACGCTTCACCTCAATGAAGCGTGCGCTTCGCTTTTGAAGCGAGGCGAGCCCCTGTCGCGTCGCGCTCTCAAAAACACTGATTCCAACTACGGTAATTTAATGAGAAAAAATATGGCTCCCAGCTCAGCCTTTAAGCTGATTACATATATAATATGTTACCTTTCTCAACAAAAACAAATGTGGTAAGCTTGCTCATGTTGATAAATGTAACAAAGAAGTGGGGACGAAAGAGCTGCCGATTGGCATATGCTTTCTTCTGTTTTCTAGAGCATTGTAGATGTTTATAAATTTAATATTAGTCTTTGAATCACATTTCTTATTCTTTTGTTGCCTTTTTATCTTGGCTTAGGAGTACAACCATGTTTGGGAAGATGGGGATGTCAGGTAATGCTCAACTTTATTTGTTGTAGTTCTTACAAATATTGAGCTTCGTGTCTATTAACTTGATTTTGTTTGTGTTCTATTAACTTGATTTTGTTTGATCTGTTGATACCTTTATGCAATAGGCAGTGGATCTGAAAACGTAACAGTCAATGAAAGTGAAAACCTTAAATAAAGTGTCTACAGCTGTGTTAGATTTGTAATTTTCTCATTTCTTTTCTTCCTTCTTCTGGTTTTTTCTTTTATATTTTTTAAATTGGTAATTGTGCTCTTCCTCATGTTTTAACTTGATAAAAAATAGAAGTTTTTATTTTTATTTTTATTTTTATTTTTTTGTGAATTACGAAAAAGGAAGTGGACCTTTGGATTCACACCAAGGAGAGCGGACCTGTATGTCTTTTCTTAGAAGACTTGAAGTAGTCTGGCATTCTGCATATTGTCTTAGATCTTCAAAGTTTTGGATTTGTCGTAGTAATTCTTCAGGAACTGATCTCTTTCCATTACGTCTACATCTTGATTCTCTTTGTAAAAAAAGAAACATTAGTGGCACCATTCAAACCTCGGAGAGATATATAAATGTGAAAGGAAAGATAGTATGGAGAGAATATACTATTTTTTGGAACGTTACTTTCATGATCCAATTCTCCCTCCGTAAGACGTCGTGACGGCACCTAGTCGCTACGACTAGGTAAGCCTAGTAGATTGCAGAATAATTGAAATAAAAGCAGAATTTAACAGCTAAACTTCAACAGATAACTATATAACTGAAAGATGCCGCTCGACATGTACAAGCAAACCAACACTCGAGTATAAACAATATTCTCAAAACTCGGTAGTCACAGGTCACAAGCTTTAAGAATTTGTTCTAGTTGTTTCTATACATCAGTAACTAGGAAAAATAAAGGAGGGACAACATAAGGGATATAGGGGGACTCTGAGGTCTGCGGACGCTAACAGATATACCTTGAAGTCTCTGAAAGCCGTAGCAAAAACTCTCGACTAGTAGCGGGGCTGGTAGGAGGTACCTGCACACCAAACATGTGTAGAAGAGTAGCATGAGTACACCACAGCGGTACCCAGCAAGTGCCAAGCCTAACCTCGGTAGAGTAGTGACGAGGCCAGGTCAGGGCGCAACTAGTATATAATAAGTAAGACAAAGATATAATCTATACTATATTAAAAGTACGAAGGCCCTTAGCGAAATATCGTTTGCCTTTTTTACCCTTAAAAAATAGATTTCACATTAGACAAAATTGTAATTGGATTTTCCTAATATGTAGGACTTTAAAATCAACTAAATTTTATTTATTAAATCCTTCCTTATTTGAAATAGGTAACTCCTAATGTTTAGGAGTTTAAAATTAAGTAAGATTTTACTTCTATAAATTTTTTCTTTGTTTAAATTGTATGACTAGCACGATTAAGTTTTTAAAATCTTAGGAATAGTAATGAAAGCCTTTCTTCAAAAAATTTATCTTAGAATTAAACACTTAATCATGAAGTATATTTTTAAGAATATCTTGTATTACTTTTTTTAATATTTAGATAGATATTAGTTTTTAATTAACTTGAGATACGAATTAAGAGATGTTGTCCGTCAAGTATAAAATTAATTCTGAAAAAAAGTACTCCAGTAAATATTAAACCAATTGTGACAACTTTTATTAACAATAGTGTATTCTATATGTTATAGCCTGTCATAAACTTTATTTTAGACGTATTAAATTATATTTTATAACTTTTTGTAGCGCAGACAATTATTTTAGACATATAGAATTTTATATGGTCTAATTGTCACTTTTTATAGGTATTACGTACCACTTCTCACATTTTGCGAGCAAATAATTAAATAATTTGAAAAGGCTTGGATATATGTGGATGAGTATGCCTGAAGAATATTTTCACTCGTCTAAGCCACTAAAGTTTATTAAAATCTAAAATTTTAAGGAGCCTAGCAGGTGAAGAAAAGAAAAAGAAATAATATTCATTAAACATGCCTTAAATCATTAAAAGCATAGAAATAAAATAAATATAGTAGAGAAGGAAAATCAAACTTGAAGAGGGAGATAAGAGTATTGATTAATAAGAGAGAAGAAAATTTTATTATAATTTATTCACTCATTCGAACAACCTTAACTAAATCCAAAAAAGCATATAGTTTAGAACACTTGACTAAGGATAATCATACATACTATAGTATATATAATACTTAATACTTGGAGTAGTATTTTCTACTCCAAGAACATCGTCTATAAAGAGATATTAGGTCAGATGTATTTTTTACTCCGCCCCTTCCGCGTGGGCCCGGGCCCCCGGACCCGGATCGCCTAAATTTTTTCCGGGTCATTAAATTATCTTCATAAAAAAAATACACACACACACATATATGTACAATATAATTAACCTACATAAATGTTTAACCTTTGCAAGTTCAGAAGATACCTAATAAATTTGCATTCAACTATTTTGCCAATGTAACATTTATTTTTCAATTTAAATAAATATTGTATTTATCTCGACGTCAATTGCTATTGCACATAATTCATTCTTATTCTCAATTTTATTCACTTTTTTAATAGACGCAAAAAATACGTGCAACGCACGTACACTAAATCTAGTAATATAAAAAGACTGAGAATCTAACAATGAGAATTTGTAAAGCAAGTAACAACACAACACATAGAGATAAACAACAGGGGCGCTCCCTAGATACCATCTCGTAGTCCCAAAAGTAAATATGTAAGGGATCTCCCGAGGTACCGCCTCATAGTCCCAAGTAAATGTGCAGCGGGGATCTCCCGAGGTACCACCTTGTAGTCCTAAAAGTAAATATGCGACAAGGGATCTCCCGAGGTACTGCCTCGTAGTCCCAAAGTAAACACACAGCTCGTAATTGATGGAAACAACAATTACAACAAGAAATCCTATAGTGTAAGACTAAGTATAAGTCAAGAAAAAGGCAGGAAATCAACTAAACATGCTTTACAGGTTTCAAATAAGCAATTAAGATACGTAGGCATGTGATACTAGGCTAAATAGGATAACTACACATGCTGGTGTAACTCAATTAAGATGTAACAGGTTACTGCTCAGTAAAAAATCAGGTTTTGCAACAATTAGCCCATGTACGCACTCGTCACCTCGCGTACACGACACTTACATATCACAGAATTATCACAACAAAACCAAATCCTAAGGGGATTTCCTTTATGGCAAGCCATTTACCTCGAACCGAGCTCAATCAATCAGTAAGAATGCCTTTTCCTAAATTTTCCGACTCCGAATGGCCCAAATCTAGCCAAAAACAATTACATACCATAAGTATAACTATAAGAAACTAATCTAATTAATGAACTCAAGATATTAACAAGAAATTCGAAAATCGCCCCCAAAAATCAACCTGGGCGCACGTTTCAAAATAGGGTAAAAGTCACAAAATACGAACACCCATTCAACCATGAGTTCACTCGTACCAAAATCACTCAAATCCGATACCAAAATCTCAATCAAAACCCAAAAGTTTGGTTAAAGAACTTTTTCCACTTTTTCCCCAAATTTCTCAACTCAAATCTTAAATTAGAAGGTAAAATTAATAATAGATTAGTGGGATATAACCAAAAACAAGTGAAGAATCATTACCCAATCGATGCCTCTGAAAATCCCTCAAAATCTTGTCCCAATCCGAGCTCTCTATCTTATGTTTTGATAAAAATTCAAAACCCTCGATTTGAAATGCTTATATCTGCCCAGTGAAATCCTTCTTAGGGAACGTGGAAGCCTCCTCGCGTTCGCGAAGCATAAAAATTCCTTCTGCCCAAAACCTCCTTCACGAACGCGATGGCCCACTCGCGAATGTGGAAGCTCGCACAATCTAACTCTTCGCGAACGCGGGACCATCACCGCGAACGCGTAGGCTAAATGCCTGGACCTCTGCCCGTACCTCTACGCGAAGGCGAGGTCCTTATCGCGAATACGTAGGCTCAATGCTCCAAAGCTTCGCGAACACGGGAACCATATCGCGAAAGCGAAGAACAAAACCCAGCAGGCCTCCCAGATGCCTTACACGAACGCGAGACCTCTCTCGCTAATGCGATTGAAGGAAACCAGCAACTGATGCAACAGATTTTCTACAATTTCTACAAGTCCAAATCTAGTCCGTTAACCATCCATCGAGGCCCCCGGGACCTCAACCAAACATACCATCAAGTCCTAAAACATCATACGAACTTAGTCGAGCCTCAAATCACGTCAAACAACGCTAAAAACACGAATCGCACTCCAATTCAAACATAATGAACTTTGAAACTTCAACTTCTACAACTGATGCCGAAACCTATCAAATCTCGTCCGATTGACCCCAAATTTTGCACACAAGTCATATTTGACATTACGGACCTATTCTGACTTCCGGAATCGGAATCCGACCCCGATATAAGTCCAAATCACCAAACGTAGCTAACGGAACCGACGAAACTCCATTCCGGAGTCGTCTTCGTACAATTCCAATTACAGTCAAAATCCTAGAACTTAAGCTTCCATTTTAGGGACCAAGTGTCCAATTTCACTCCAAAACCAAAAATAAATCCTCTCGGCAAGTCACATAAGTATAAAATGATACGGGGAAACAGAAAATAGGGGATCGGGGCTAATGCTCTCAAAACGACCGGCCAGGTCGTTACGGTTACACGTTTGAGTAATAAGGGACTGATTGTTGGATTTCCTCAGCTTCCGACTGTGATATAAAGGAACTGTTTTGCGTGTAATTTGGCACAAACTCTGTGCTTCTGTTTGTAAAATCTTATCATTCTAAACCAAAAAGAGGGACTGATCGCTAATATACAAAGCATAGTTAATATTCAGATGAAGCATGTTTCATTTTGGTTCAGTGTTGGAGGACTTGAGCTTTACTTTCTAACTGAATAATATAATTAAGGTAGTTTACTTATAATGTCGTTCACTTATTTGTCAACTGTAATAGGAGAAA